AGCATCAGTTTTATCCATATTATCTGACGCTGTTCGTGATCCAGTATTCCCAGCAGAAACAGAGGCTTTACGAATAGGCATCATTTTAGTCGGTGCCTTCTTCAAAGACCGCTTTCGTTTCTGCCCAGAAACGGACGGCGACGATACAAATTCATCGAGTTCCTGGTACTTATTAAACAAATTCGAAAAATTTTCAAAACTACTTGTTAATGATGTAAAGTCTTTCTTAATGGATACAAGCTCCGATTGCAAGTCTTTTACAAAATTATAAAAATCGACAGAAAGTTTTCTACAGTGAACACAGCACCAACGAACGCCAACATTGACTCTAATAGTATCAACTACTTTCGCGTTGATACGAGCACACTTAACATGCCACTGATTTAAACAGAACCAACATGTAACGCACAATTCATCTTCTTTAGAGATTTTTTTTAATTCAAATATTTGTAAAAAAAGATAAAATACAAAAAAGTAGCTGGAATTCGTAATCCTTTGATTTCTACAAAATAAGTATTATTGGCAACTCTGTTTTGAGAAGATAATAAGAAAATAAACAAGAATAATGTTACAACAAACAGATGAAGAAATGTAATAAGTGAAACAAACAGGAATTGGAACACAGAATACCAATTAGAAAATAAGTTGATTTTTATTATTTATCACAAAAACTCACTACACCAATTAGCACAGACAAATCAAAAATAGATTTTAAACACTGTTAACACTTTTTAAAATTCACAAACGGGTTAAAAGAACTCAAAAACAAATATTTAAAATCAAAAACAGGAGCCGGACAAAAATCTATCAACAATCACGACAGGGTTGCCAAAAATTTATACTTAGCCATCTACTTTTATTACATTTTAAAATGGCAAATTTTTACTTTTTTACTTTCAGTGGGCCAAATATCGATTACATTTCAACACATATTTGTCATGTTTAAATAAAAATGTATATTAACATTTTTATAAGTGTCGGTAGAACATAGAAAATACTTTGTTTGAATGGTCAACTTTTATTCGCCTCGGTTGTCGTCGGTAATTCTGTCTTAAAACAGAATTTTGAAATTAGTGACATGGAAAAAAGTTTTAAAATTTTGTCTGTCTGTTGAAATCACTATAGAGGTACACATGTTTAAGATAGAGCTCTGAATTTTGCACAGTCATTGCTAATTCTCCAAGGATGTTTGGTATTGCAAATGGGATATATCGGCCCACATTGTGGAGTAGCTCTCAATATTCGGTATTTTGGACACGTTTTTCTACTGAATTTGGGTTATCACTGTATAGCACGTCCTTGTACCCAAAGTTATTAATATTGAACCAAGTTTGAACACATTTTAAAAAATATGACATATTCATTAAATGGTTTGAAAAAGCCATCCAAGTCGTGAATATGATTCAACATTTCTTAAGTCGGACGTGATATTTTTATGGTAGCCCCCATAAAAATGCTACCTTATGTGATAATACCGAAAAAGAGGCGGAACTCAGCAGTTGAGTTGTAGGTACTGAACTATAAAATTGTTTAGAAAAACTATTTTTTTTATTATATTGCGCAAATAAATAGTTGTATATATCTTTTAATTGTTTTCAATAATTTTATTCCGGAAAAAATATGTTTTTCTATTAAAATATTACTAATAAAAGAAAATAGTGCAATATAGTAGTAAATAACTTAAAACGATAATAACATAAAAATGTTGGATGAAGGCAATAGTTTGATATACGTATAACTTTGGTTTATTTAATATTTTTGGGTCAATGTTTCTTGAACTACATGCCATAGTTGGGTTTTTTGTTGGTTTGGCATTGGCAAAACACGTATGGTTTTTCGATCAATCTCCGGCGTTCAGTCAAATCACTTGTTTGGAGATTTCATTTTATTATCATTTTAGAGGATGCTGAATGGTTCATCCTATTGCACCGTACTATGCACACTAAACTAGAGAAATTCAAGAAAGCAACAACAAATCTAACTAGACTTTATTTGTTTTCTTGATCTTAACATTCCATTATTCAATTTTGTTTCAATGACATTTGTAGATTGATCAACTGCACTACTATTTTTATGAACACAACTATACATACAGTTGCGGTATTATTATTAAAAAATATGTTTTCTATAAAAATTTACGATGATTATAAGAAAAATTCAAAAAACAACGAAAATCCCCCATCAAAATGTCCGCATCAGTTTTGGTTGGATGCAGTGATTATATAAAAAAAAATCATATATTAGAACCATATTGACCATGGGGTATTATTCGACTTAGTCACTGATCACATGTGCGTGCGTTGTATAGATTAGCCAGAAATCAGGAAAGAATACAAAAAACTAGTTGGCTTCAACACATTTTCATCCTTTTTTTTACTTTACTACCACACAGCTTGCACGCAACTTATTATTTATTACCAATATTCTAAGATTTTGTACAAGAACACTTTATTTTCTAGAAATGAATTTAAATTATATACAATGAGTTATAAGCTTGCAAACCTCAGTTTCACGGAATTTAAGGGAACCCCACCCATTCTCGATTTTAATTTTTCAAGATTTTCAATGGGCTGGTAAATCAATACCAATGCTTGTTAAGGTTTGTAACTTTGCACATATATATTTGAAGATTTAAAAGAGAAGAAAAATAATTTATAAAGAGTTTTTGTTATTGTTTTGTTGTTGTTTTTTGTAATTAAAGAAAAGTCCTTATTTTTGATGGCGGGCATGATAACTCCTCACTGGAACATCGGAATCCGAAAATTCCAACGGTACTAGAAAGAGTACATGCCTGGCTCTCGTATGAACTAGGATTATTGACTTCGCTCGAAAATTAACAAAATGGTGGACCTTTGAAAAAATATTTGTGGAAAATCGCCGATTTTTGACCAAAAACAAAGATAAAAAATAAGAAAGATATTCACCGATTGGCTTTATCCTAGTTCATACGAAAGCTATACACTCACAGAGAAACGTGTAAAAATTTGGAATCGATTGGGTTATTAGTTTTTGAGTTATCGTGCCCGCTGATGAAATAAAACATTTTCAATGTTAAAAAATTGGCCAATAATCTTACATTCTTATATGAAACGTTTTCAAATACCTTTGTCAACTTTGGTGTTTGACAAACATTTCTTATATCAGTGTTTTTTTCTTATTCGCATTTTTGAAGCTATTTTTACACTTATATGAAATTTGCTTATATCCGATATCTACTGTATTGCTCTATAGGAACCATGCCACACCATAAACTAACATTGATCATTTTTGGTACGAAGATTTGACAATCCATAAGAATTTAAAAAATCAAATTAAACTAACATTAATCATTTTTGGTACGAAGATTTGACAATCCATAAGAATTTAAAAAATCAAATTAAGACGAATTCGGCCGAAACGCCCAAAATATAACGAATACTGGGTGTACCATTATATGGGGGCTAACCGAAAATTTGGCCCGATATTGATAATTTTTGGTGTAAGAATCCAAAATATCTGAAACACACGTTCAATAAGAATCCAATATCTGAAGCACGTTTTCAAGACCCCCAAAATAGCGAAATCTGTGATGTATAATAAGCACCACCGATGTTCAATTCAAGGTCAATTTGTTTCCATTAATACCTTGAAATGCGTTTTCTGCGCAATAGTCCATTTAGTTGTTTTATGAGACTCTTGAGGTAAATTAGCGATATGTATTATGTAGATGTACGAAAAGGTTTGATAACATGCTTGAGCAGCCTTTGCTGAGAATTGATATAATCCGTGCCCATAATAGAAACACACTTACACATTAGACACTTTATATAATTTTAGCGTAGCTTATATAATTACAGTTATTTCTTGTGATTTTATAATGTAATTGTTGTAAAACGAATTTAATGTAATTGTCGCCAGTGTTTATCAAAAGATTTCATTACTTTTATTTTCTACAGACTTCCTCAATGATCGCTAACATTAGGGTGGTGTAAAATAAAAATGCCGCAAGTTAGTTTTTAGGGATAAAAATAAAACATAGATTATATTACATGTCTAAACAAATTAAAATATTTGACTTCGCTGATTACCTTAATTTTACATATTAAGATTTACTGGATTCCAGGGTAAAAACTAAGAGAATGTTATTGTCATTAAAAATTACTTATTTTTATTGTGTCATAATCTTCTTCAAAACAAAGCATTCAACTAACCCCTATAAACGAAATGGTATGTAACCATAAAAATGTAATTGCTTATGTTTATCGTTTCGCAAGAATGAATCCTACCGTGAAATGTACTACTTCAACGTGTAATGTCGTGCGTTTGAGTCGGAACTCTAATTTAACAGGTTGCACAGTGCAAAAGAAAAAATAAATTGAATGTAACATAAATACTAACAAGTTTCTGATCGGTGTGCCAAATATCGTACTTATGAAACCGATCTTGTCTACGGAATCAACTTGGATATATAATTCTCCCTAACAAATTTAAGGACACAAATCTTGGGGGATTTTTCAGAAATATAATCTCGATGTTTTCAAACCACTGTGCTTCATAAATATTCCCAACATTTTTTTACAATCATTTCATCAAAGTAAAGTATATAAAAGGTGGTACAGACGCGTCTTAGATAGTCAGTTGGTATTCTTGTTCACTACGTAAATCATTTACTGAAACATTGTTCACAAATCCAAAATGTTTATAAAAGGATTTAAAGTTTTAATTGCAATTTTATTTTTGAATATAATAGTGAGTGAAGTAGTGTGTGCCGTGCCAAATTATGAATTGAGAAGTGGAAAGTATGTCTGTGTTGATTGTTATGCATTATTCTTTACAACACAATTTATTTAATGTGTTCCATCCCACGCAGATATGATGCAGTTTTTATAAACAACATTTTAAGGAATCTCTAATGAACAATGTTAATTTTTGCACTGAGAAATAAAACATATATTAAGGATCTGAAATATTGAATAATAATATTACTAATAAAAAACATTTATTTCAGATCAGTAAACGATATGACAAAATGGGATCGATCTTATCAAAAAGAAAATAAATCATTGGAGTTTGATGACAGCAATTCTTCTACAAAAGACCGTTTGCAAAGGCTCGGATACACAACTGGATACGGAACCCTTAATGTAAGACACTTTTATAATCTGACAAAATAAGACCAATTGGTTAAAATGCAGGAAGGGATGAAATTTTACTAAACATGACAATAATAGAATTGTTCCATTTGTTATTTTACAGGAATATATTAATAATATAATCCATAATAAAATTATATAATATATTAGGTTGGGGAAAAAGAAATACATTATTTTTCGGCAGATGTCTGTACTGATAGATTTCTCGCAAAGTATCGATCAAACAACTGCATATAGCCAATTTTTTAACATAGCTGAAGCAGAGTTCCACCACTTTATAACTCCGGAATTACTAATGTACATAAGAAAAAGTGAATAGTTTTGTATTTATTGATCTGTCGTTGCAAACTTTTCATGTCCAAGTTTATTTACTTTTTGTAAAAAAATGGGTAAAAACAAAGTGAGACAACCAAGGTTTTTTATGTTTTTTCTCGATTTGTGACTAAGCCACTAATTTCGCGGTCTTCGTGCTAAAGTAAAAATAGAAGCCTACAAAATGAGGATCACGTCCCTTATGTATCGTTTTTCGAAAATTTATTTGCATAAATGATGCTGACATTTTAATGCTCAAGAATAGTGTAAGCTGGGTCATTGAAATAGGTATAGATCGATGTATTTTTTTAGGGTACACACCGATATCGGATGCGCGTTAAAATCATATAGACTTTTCGGAAATTATTCGCGTTTTAGTCGTCAAATAAAATTTTGCATAATATACATGAATTGAAAGATAACCTTCAGTACTTCCTGAAAACGTCATTCGCATCAAATGATTTTGAGGATTACGCGATTTATATATATATATATATCATATATATAGTTTTATTTTAAGATTTATACCTATTTAAAGAACCCCAAGATTTATCTAAAGGGTCTTGCTATAATCCGAAAGGTGTATACTTATACATAAGAAATGATAATTTTTATACATGTAAATTTGTCAGTGAAATTCGGGCAAAATAGAGAAATAACCCCAATGTTTTTCTGAAATTTTTGCAATTAAAAAATAAATATGATGACATTATTTCTTTAAACCAAAAACAAATAATTTTCCTCAATATCTTGTTTTGTTGTCGCTGTAATTTTCAAACCGCTACACAGACATGATTTTGATATCATATGATTAACCTTGGTGTTTATATTTTTAAATTCATTTTTAGGTGGATACTTGTCATTAATGTAATGAAAATATTGACGTAATCTTCTATATGTTTATTACTTTTTCGCGATTATTTTAATATGTTCATATTCATATTTTACGAAGAAAGTCATATATCAAAGTTTTTGGTCAATATAATAAACGCTGTAATTTTAAGATTTTTTATGCCCAACATTAAAACCTATACCTAGATAATTTTTGCGCGCATCAACCAAAAATTTGATCGCGAACGGATTCGGGGTCAAGACCTTTTTCTGTATATGTGTACCAAAAAACAAAAAAGCCGATTTTTTGAATATGGAATATTAATATATCTATCTATATCTATATATGAGCAATATTACCAATTTTTTAATATTCCATTTTCAAAAAATCAACTTTTTTGTTTTTGTGGTACATCAATGATTTTTGGTGCACATATAGAGAAACATGTTCTGACTCCGAAACTGTTCGCGATAAAATTTTTTGGTTGATGCGCGCAAAAGTTATCAAGGTTTTAATTTTGGGCATTAGAAAAAAATCTTAAAATTACGCTGTTTACTATATTGACCAAAAACATTGATATATGACTTCCTTCGTAAAGCCATTTTGTTGGCTTCTAGTTTTTCTTTGACACGAATGCCGTGAAATAAGTGGCTTAATCACAAATCGGTAGAGAACATAAAAAACTGGTTCGCCTCAACCAGTTTTTACTCATTTTTTTACATTAAAGTAGACACAGCTTCCACCAAAATAAAGTTTGGAGGTCAATATCATGAACAGTTTGCAACGACAGAGCAATCAACCCATATACTTTTCATTTTTTTTCATATACTTAAGTAATTCCCGTGTTATAAAGGGGTGAACCTCCGCTTCAGCTATGTTGAAAAATTGGCAATATTGCACATATATATATAAATGAATTGCTGTTCGTTAGTCTCGCTAAAACTCGAGAACGGCTGAACGGATTTTTCTTATCATAGTCTTGAAATGTTCGCGGAGCTCCAGGGAATATAATAGTTCCATAGGAACATGTTGTTCCAAGAGAAAAATAAAATCCGGTGGTTCCATTATATTGTGGGTATATACCGGATCGGTTATATACACAAATCCTCGCATATATCCGATACAAAAATGTTTATCACAGAGAAAACTAATATAACAAGATATTTTGAATCAAGCTTTGACATTTTGCACATACATTGTTATTACTCCTTAGAAGTTTGATATTGCAAATGGGATATATCGGTAAATCATAAATTTAAAAAATACATAAAAGGCATAATATTTAATGTGAAGGATATACCAAAACCTTCGTCAAAAACATATATTATAACATAGAGTCTCATGGTGTTACCAATTCGTTTTATATATACCTCAACATGTCAATTGCCGATATGTAAAATGAGGACATCTAATAACAAGTAAAAACGTCGTTAAGTTCGACCGGGTCAAACTTTTATAACAGCAGTCGTTCGGGGATTGTGGAGGCTATCCTAAAAAAGTAGATCGATATTGATAACTTTTGGTAAAGAAATTTGTTACCCAATGGGAACTCAATGTATCTAATTACAGCTAATTGGTTAAAAACGTGTATAAACACCAAAACACTAATGACGTTACCGTTATATTGATAGTCACAATTTTTGGTCGAAAGATATGCTACCATATGAAAATTCAAAGTAAATTATAACCGAATCAGCCAAACACCCCAAAATACGGAATAATGGGGAGCACCGTTAAATGGGAGCTATATGGGCCGATATTGCCAAAAGTACCAAATTACAGACAAAATGCCGAATATTAGGGGTACCGTTACATGTGGGACTACCTCGAAACTTGAGTCAATATTAATAATTTTAGTAAGTAGGTTCGCTATACATTAAAAACCCAAAATACCAAATTACAGAAAATTCGGTTGAAAACCATGTCCAACATCCCCCTAATATCTCATTTTCATTACCAATCATCCAATCAAATCTCTATCTTTAATATTGCGATCACTATCGTGATTTCGACATAGATTTTTATTTTGAACAATTATATATACGTATACTTTCTGGGGTCTCCAGTGCTGCAAAGGGAATGACAAATTTAATATACCATTTACCTTAATGGCGAAAGGTATAAAAAACTTACATAGCACAGGGCTACCGTTATGTGGAAGTCGTACAAACATATCCCGGCTCTTGATGTATAAATTATATGACGTTATTTAAATTTATTTTCCATGAATGCAATAATTACAAAAACAAAAATTATATCCAAGGAAAAAATATAAAAAGTTTATCTATATTTTGTATAAAGACAATATGATAGCCAACCAATCTAGTATTATAGACCGGGAACTCTCTTGTCCTAGCCAGCCAAACATATGGATTCAAGAGATTGAGAACGTAGCGTTGACTCTCCTGTGGTTGTGAAAATACGCAGCTTCATGTATGGCGTATCGGATATGTTGCAAATTTCAGCTAATGGAATATAAAAAACTACTAGCCGGACCATATTCCCTCGATGCATAATGACAAACTAGATAACAATAAATAACTGCTTGATTTCAGGATATTATTTTATGTCCTACAGGCATACTAAAAAAGATTAATAATCACTGAAAATATTTTAAATTAGTTTTTATGAAATCAAATACTTCCAATTATTTCACTGCAATTTGTGTGTTCCAGTACTTTTTTAATAGTAAAGCAAAATCAATATAACAGCCAATCAGAATTTGGAAAAAAAAGTTTCCAAAGAACGTCATTTTGTTTTGTGTTCTCCTAAATTTTTGTTCAATGTTTTAACAGTTTTGTGGATTCGAGTAAAAAGTTGCAAAACTTGTAAAATTGGTAGATTCTTTTAGGTTCTGAAACTAATATTAACAAATTCAATATTGCCAAAAATGGAAATGGTATTGTAACGTTATAGCGAACTCGTAGGGACCAAGCTAATTAATTCGTTATAGAAGAAGTTCGTTATATCCAAGGTAAGGAAAAATTTAGGCTTAGTAAAATATATATATATTCAATTCGAAATTAGTATGTTTTGTCTACATTTTGATAATCCTTGAGATTATTCTATTTTTTCTTTAATAAAGCTCACATTACAGGTGGTATTTTTTGTAAAGGTTGGCCGGGTTACAGTAACAATTAACATTTGTGAGGATTGTCATCGACAGTATTACGTATATTTGTGGCAAGTTCGATATAACCGAATTAAAATATATGAAAGCTGAATGTTATATATAGTTCGTTATAAGAAAAGTTGTTCATATCCGCAGTTCGCTATAAGAGTAATGATTTGTATAAAAAAATTGTCTTAAAACTTCGGGACCCAAAAATGTGTTCGCTAAAAGAATAGTTCGTTATAAGCGTACTCGACTGTATATCCGAAGTTAGTTTTTATATTTTACTATGACAAATAAAATGTTTTATGCAAATATCTGTTACATGAAAAAAGTCACTGAACACCACAATTACTAAATTGTTACCACCTTAAAAGTAGCATTTTTCTAAAATTTCTTCCATAACAGTACTGGTATTTACTTGCAATGATGTCTCCAACCCCACTGTAATATATTTCCACTGCCGCGACTTCCGATGCAGTGGAAAATAAGTACAATCATCATGAAAAAGATATACTAAAAATGTAGACCTATACCGAAAAATGTTTCCAATAAGGATTTTGTAACACGCAACGCACCATAAATACCACATTTCTGCAAATCTTCCTATAATAAATGACGAATTGTGCAAATTCTAAACTAAAAAAAGAAAGAAAAAAAATTATTATCATACTATTTACATTGGTCCATCGTGAAGATCGAGAAAATAGTACATTTCAGAATAAGCAAGTTCAA